TTAACAAAGCACCGTTTGTTAAACTTTATAACTCTTTCAGATTACATTATTTTCGAGAGATATTTGGGGGGCTTATAGACTGAAAGCTTTTAAAAAGATCTATGGTAGGATACTTCGAGATTTTTCTTTGTTGGCCGTAACGAAGCTGCTACGCTAAAGTTTCCATAAAATTATTATTTTTTCATATTTTAAGGTATCCTACCATAGAAAGTTGCATTTTTATATTATCTTTATAATTCTTGAAGAAATTATTTAAAGAATTAAATATTTGAGGAGTTATAAGAGTTTAAAGCGTTTTTAAGCTGTTGCTATGGATACGGCTCACGCCTTCACAAACAAACAAGAAGGGTGTTGACCTGTATTTTTCAAATCTCCATTATATGTACTTTCATTATGCATACAGAAATGGCATCAACTCCTTATATATTTTTTTCAAAATCTCTTCAAAATGACACTGGTTTACACTTTTGAAACGGCGTACCTCGGGAAACATTGAGATTCTCGGGAAACAAAACTAACCGTTTCCCTTGGGAACAGTCATTAAGTGTATACTGTTTCCCTCGGTTCCAGTAAATAAGTGTTAAATCACACATCTATTTTAATATCCTATTATCTTAAAAAAATTACAAAACAGGGCCAAAAGTATATATGGCTATTTCAAAAAATGTTGTCGGATACAATATAATGGCGAATGTCAATGGTCGAACCGATTGCATGACCGAAATTAGCCATGGTTTTGCTACAATCATGGACAAAATTCATGGGACAAAGTGTATGTCTATATGTCCAGTGGCGGATCCAGGGCGGGGGGTTCCATGGGTTCCTAGAAACCCACCTCGAGCATAAAAAATATATATATATATATACAAAAAATAAATGACAAATGAAATAAAATGAAATAAAATGAAAACGCATCGTACACAATTTCATCTGAGAAGGATGAAGCTGGCTTATATCTTACAATATATAGGTAAGAGAGTCACAGTAAAAAAGTTCGTTTTAGGAAAATGCGAAAACAAAGTGGAACCGACCTTTGAAAAATCCTAGATCCGCCACTGATGTCTACMAAAACTTACAGACAATTTTCCCCCGTGGTCCCCCATTTCCAATGTTGGACTCGAAACAAACCCTCCTTCCATACCGAAACATTTCCGCCAACAACATTGTTAACCAACATTGACTGTGGGGGTAGGGGGGAGGCTTTGAGTAAGCATTAAAACAGCCCATAAGAGAGTGCATTTGC